TGTACGCCTTGTCGGCTGATATACGAATAGGGGCAGCAAATCAACTGAAATTTATTGGGTTCCTTTTGTCTTGCGGGCCTTATCGGCCATTGAAGAATAAACGTGAAATCTTTATTACCAATCAAGCATCTCGGATACTACTGGCAACCTATTATAAGTACAGATACGACGCCATTTTGTGAAATAAGCGCCTAATAACCAATGCCTGTATTTTTAATGTGTTTCTTATAAAATATATCTAACTATATTTTAGCTTACTATTACTCCAAAGCGTTACAAAAAACGACGAAAAATCCGAATTTCTTTTCGGCAGACAAAAAAAACGGACCAAATTACTATGACGCCATTTTATTTCGAGACTGACGGGGGAAATAACGGAACTGGTGCTTTTTCGGCTACTTTCCCCTAACGTTTTTCCGTTTGTATCATAAATAGGGGATTTAATTTACCAACCCCCGCGTGCGCCATCTTGATTCCAACCGTCAAACTTCGTGAGGCTAAGGGTTTTTTTGAATGATAATAAGTGTCAAAGGCCGGCTTAACCCGTTTCCTACTTTATCCTTTCGATATACGAACAATATCCTTGTTTTAATCGTCGATACATTATGATAAAAGAACCAAGTGGGTTCGAGAGGTGTGAAAATGAAGAATGTTCAAATTCCACTCTTCTTCCGATTTTCCTATTCGTTGAAATAGATTAAAACCGGATGTCGTTCTAGGTCTTTTAAATCCCTTTTTTGACCGAATTCCTCTTCTTAATCCGTTCTACCTTTTAATAGAGCCGAAAGCAAAGGAATTTGTTCCACGCTCCGTCTACCGGAAGATTTAAAGAATCTTCCATCAATATATTCTACGCTTAACTGATAACTATGCAAACTTCTCAATGGCGCGCGGTAACCGGAAATGACTTATTTTTATTCCGACTATTTGTTTTAGACATCTCTGTCCTCCTCTCCTCCTTCAATTCATGCGTAATTTTTCAAATATTAAAATTGACTTTAATATAATAAACAGATCGAGTTAATCTGCGCGCTTATCCACCTTCGGCTCGCTCGGCCTAACTAATGATCCAAACTTTATTGGACTAGGTAACGAACGAGCGCAATTTCGGGTATTTATCTGGCAAATCCCGCGCATAATTCTTACCTCCCCGCTTTTCGGTGATCGAATATATCCGGGGTAAAATTATTACCGCCATTACGTTTCGTTGTTATATTTCTATAGATTGAAAAACTCGGCAATGCTTCTTCACCTCATTCGGAGGCAGAGGTGCCCTCAGACTACGAAAAAGGGGGGGTTCAGACTATGAAAAAAGGGCACGGTACATTATGCAAGGAGCTTTAAACTCTACGATTAACACCTCGGATCGGGGCTCGGGGGTAACTTGACCCGAAAAACAAGGAATGGGGTACCACGTACTACGAAGTTGCACGGGATCAATGGACAAATATCATTTGTTAGTTCCTTTTATAGACTAGAAGTCACGAATTTCCTGTTTTTGGGTCCCCTGGAGGATTAGGAAAAGGGCAACCGAGAGGAAAAGAGGGAGGCACGTGCCCAATGTACGGGCGAACATCTACAAAACGTTCCTCCTGTCATTTATATACAGTCGGAGGAGGTTTTACCACAGAAGAGTTACTTATCGGGAAATTACGGATTAAGATCGGATAATCCTTAAACCGATGCGATTAGGTCACAAGGCCACGTTGCACGCGTCATTTACACGGGCCAAATTCAAACGTCTGAAGAGAACTTCCTCTGTTTAAGTCGTTTCCGGTTTTCGAGTTATTACGCCTTTCGATCGATAGAATTAAAGACGGTTGCCGGGATTTCCTTAATCGCGGAAGATACGACGGGATTAAGCAAAACTCGGGTTTCATCCCGGCTCGGATCTTTATTTTGCTGTCTACCAAGTAAACTTTATGACATTCGGCATTCAAAGATTATTTTTATCGTAACTTAGTCTATAGAGTATTAGGGGTTAATTCCGATTAGTCCACGAAAAATCTATATAAAAGCACTCGGAGTGAAAGAAGAGCGGGGCAGGAAAGAAAAAAAGAGAAGTTCTATTACGGTAGTTAAAGAGAATGACCGACTTGTAAGAGGAAAAGAAAGTTCGATTCGCATCTCTTTTGTATCCGAGTTCTGTTAGAGGACGTCCTTGCTAAAATCTCTGCAAGCTGCAAACGACAGTGCAATTTTTAACACGGAAACGACGTCCCGATTTTTTTTTAAATAAAATGTCCGCCAATCGAAACCCAACGTCGTCTTCTCCAATCACATTCATTTTCTCCCCCCTTCTCCTCCTGTTTATTTAATACTCGGAACAATTCTTAAATATCGAGCGGCCGTTGTTGTTTTCCTCCAATGCCACAGAGAGATCATTACAAGGATCCTACGTGCATTTAATTTCGTACGACGATCCGTTCGGAAATAAAATTCCTAATTATGCAATAAATATCTTCCGAATCGCTTAGAAACACGGCAATCTTTTAACGTTTTAAGCGTCGAATAAACACAAATCAGATATAGAAATTGAAGATCGATGGCGAACGGACGGGGTGATTATTAATCGTCCTTGTATTCTTCGTGTTTACACGGAGGAATTCGGTTACTAGACTCTAATCCGATGCGTAAAATGGATTCTCGTGGGTAGACCAGTCCGACAATAGTTGACTTTTGCCCTTTAACTGTGGGAAGAAATTGGAGGTGCAATCGCCACGATTCCCGATCGAGAGCCCGCGTGAAATACACGGTTACGGGTTCGGAGCTTTAGTAGAATCCTCCAGATGTTTAATTAGGGAACGAGGAAAGGCTAGAGAGTGGGGGGAAGGATATTAGGAGGCATTCGTCGACCGAAGAGGCTTCTCCCCCGACTTTACGCGTCGACTCGAGCTCGATTGCCTTTCGGTAACAATCGACTCGGCGCCGATCGATATCGCTCCGATCAATTAGTCTCCGGATGAAGCCGAGCGGGGGATTTCGGGGGAATCGGGGGGGGATCGTCCTCCAACTTAAGCATTTGACGAAACATCGGCCACGGGCGATATCCATTGTCCTAAACGCCAGCCAAATCGAACGACGGTGTCACCCGAATCGAGGGTTCGTTCCGGAAACGACGAGGAATTTTTAGGTTTTGTGCCTTTTTTTTTTGCAGAGGCTTCCCGAGCTGGATGGCCACCGACACGGACGTAGGAAAGAGGCGGATCGATATCTTTTATCTTCTCTATCCGAGAACGAGAACGGACTGCCGAGTCGGCGCCCTTCCCTTCCGACCGGAAGCTTCCCACTCCGCTTTCTAACTTGACTCGGTGGCGCCCCCCGCGGCGGTATTTCGCAACGTTCCGGATCGTAACTTCAATCGGTCTTCCGACGACAAATATTAATAATTTTTCCCTCCTCCCCCTAGAAATATCTGGCGTCGAAATCGTAAGAGGTCCATTTTCCGGTTTCGAGTCCATCCGAGAGGAAAGGAAAAAAAATGGGTTGCGAATGGAGCGTGGAAGAATCTCTTTCTCGCCAGATTGAGGTGGGAAATTGGTTTCCGGCATTTCGGTTCCGGCCCGTCTCGTTCGGCTTCCTCCCACCTCCCTTTACGGCCGAGATGGACCTTCATCCGGAGCCGGAGGAGAGAGAGAACAAAGAATTCTCTCTCTCTCTCTCTTCGCCTTAACCTTTGACATTTGAGCGGGAAGAATGGAGGACGAGAAGTTCGCATTTTACCCGCGGGATGGCGCCCGGAGCGGGGGAACCCGTTCGGACCGACAGATAGGATGCGAAAGAGGGGGGAGAGGGCGAAATTTTCGTTTGGGCGATTTTTACGACGGCGGTTAATGGGGGAGATCGAAGCCAGCGGCGGAAAAAGGCAAAAACGGGCAATTAAGAGAGGACCGAATGGAAGGGAGATAAAGATCAATCCGGACAATAAATCTCCTCCCTCTTTGTAATCCCGGGTGCCCATCTCCGCCACGTATCCGTACCCCGGGCCGGAGGATAAGGTCCGGGCCGTCGAATCCGTCACTCGGCCCGGATCGATGACGTCTTTTCGGAAGGATATCTTATTACCGAGAAGGGCAATTTGGCAATCGATAGGCGCGAGAAAGGGTGAAGACAGTGTGAAAGTTGGTAAGACTTTTTTTTTCTTTTTATTATCGTTTGAAAAAATACATGAAATAAATAGTTGCATAAATATATCTCAACGAAATGCACACATGTCCGATATATCAGTGGTCGTACAACCAGACGGATTGTACGTTAACAAGTCTAACATGCTAGCAACAAGAATAGAGAAAAACCTTGCATCCATCCAGAGTATGACTATTCTAGCTTTAAAATTTCCACAAGTACTCGTTCAAACCCATTCGTTGGCACAATGGAGTTTGGCACTAAGTATATTTATATATATATATAATATATATATAATATATAATATATTTATTCATTTGTATTTATATATATATATATGTATATGCGATGTATGTACTGGAAAGATACTGATGAAGGAACTGTGACGTTGTCTTCTCCGACGGACACGGTCCAAATCAAATCATACAAAATAGATAACATACAAAAATGATGGGAATTCAACTCTTTTTTTTTTTTTGTTTATTGCACGTGCAGGTACTCGGTATCAAAACTGAATGCGTCGCTCCGCTCCGACCTGGAATGACAAACACCAAAAGAACAACGAAAATGGGGAAAAGGCCACTGAATGATGAAGTTCCTTCTGATGGAAGCCTCGGTTGTTGTTCGTTTCCGGTCGAAGGGCGGGCGGAGAAAAAACGCGCGCTCGGCCGGCCCTCCCCCATCGCGGGGCGGTGGAGGAGGGTCGGCGGCGGGCCGAGACGACCCGGGGTGGTGACTAGGCGGAAGGGTGAGAAAGCTAGGTACAGGCCGTGCCCTTCATTCAGCATCTGGATAGAAGAGAGCGCGGTTGCCACCGAGCGCCCCGTCGGCTGATATGAGTGTGCGGAAGCGAATCGATGCGGCTGTTTGTCGACTTTTTTTTTTTTTTTGGATCTCCGGGGGTGGCCGTCCCGAGTGGCCACTCGGGGAGTTGGCCTGACGTCACTGCTAGGAATTGTGCTGGATCGACGGTTCGGTTCCGAAGTGGAAGACATTCTGCTCCCGCCCGGACGGCCGGCGGCAACTGCGACTTGGACGCCACTCACACGCAGATATAAAAAAAAAAAAAAAAAGGAAAGAGGATGAACAGTTATGACGTAGAATATGTACAGAAATGTTCCTGGCGCGAGACGTCGCGCCCGATCGCTGGAATGGCTCAGAGAGTTTGGCTCCGTACCCACGTCCATTCTCGGATCCAACCGTGAGATTCTTTGGCTAAACAGAACGGAAACAACCGTCGGCGAGTTTGAGCATTCGACAATCATACTCGCCGACGTCTGGACTAAAACTGTTCTTTGGTGACTTGCATATCACTCCGATTTAGCAGCATGCACCGTTATGACGTAACAGATGAAGTTCTAGGAACATTCTTTGGCACAGCACATCACCAAACATAAGGCAGTTTTGGAAATGGTGTATTTCCGTGGCTTTTTGTCTTTTTTTTTTTTATTGGAAACGGAAAATAAACCCAAGGAAAATCTCGTTGTGGTTTAGCTCACTACCGCCCGTCACGGGAGGTTTCTGTAGCGAAGCACCTTTCTTTAAAAGACACGAAAACAGTCACAAGCACACGTCCGCCGATTAGGCTACTAATCAACGGGAAACCATTAAAGATCTATGAAATTCAGAAAACTAGAATATTTGGTAGCTGCATCGATGAACAGGTGAAAAGATCAACAATGGATACTACAGTAACATTGATGGTACGGCATACTTTGATTCCTCTAACACGTGAGTATTCTCTCGCTTTTGTGAATGAAGTGAGGCACCGACTAGACAGTTCCTGCGGAGGAACACGTTGCGCGCCTCTTCTTCCCTGGCAGGCTGCCACTTCTATACAGAAAACTGGGCAATAACAGTTTTGGCACGTTTCGTGGTATCCACGAAAATCTTTGGCTTCGTTGGTCGACCATGGGTACGTTACACGTTCTGGAGAACACCCGATCATTGGCGATACGGTTTGCAGTAACTGTACCTATGATTCATGTGCTGGCTGTACGATCCAGAATGAGAGAAACGCTTGAAACACTTCTTGCACTGGAACGGTTTCTCGCCGCTATGCAGCCTCTTATGCTCGGTCAAATGGTGTTTGTGCTTGAAAGCCTTGTTGCACACGTCACACTTGTGGGGCCTTTGACCTGAAGAAGACAGACAAACTACTACAGTAAATGCCACCCGTGGCCCTTCTACCACTTTCCTCCTCTACCCACCTGAATGTTCGTACTTGTGACGCGCTAGCGAGCTTTGCTTACTGAACATCTTATCACATTGGTCGCACCCATACATGCCCTCTTCGCTCTCGAGTCGATGCTGCTTCCAAGACTTTCGACGTTTGCCACCACTTTCTTCCTCGCCCTCGGCACTGTCCTCCACTGCGCTGTGGCTCTCTTCCGCTTCCATCTGAAACAAAAACAACTTAACCTTCTATTTTCCATTTACAATACTTACAACGGCCTATTAAATAGACTCGAGACATTCTTTAAAGTAAACTCCTCTGCAGTGTTGGTACCAAATCCCAACATAAAACAATGGTTAACAATCTTACAATAGGAGGTTGTATACGGTGTTTTTCAAACTTTTTCTAATAGTGCCACCCCCAATTTGCTTTTTTCTCCCCTCTCCCGCCACTTCTTTATACACTTTTACTTTCCCGCCTGTTATGTATACATAACAAGGGAAAGTATTGGAATCGTGTCAAATTTGACCCTCAGGGTATTTTGCAAATCTCCAGGTTTTGATTCCTCCCGAACCCAGAAAAAAGTCAAAGGGGGGAAAAAATCCCGTGGATACGTGTGTGTTTATGTGTTGTCGTCTATTTCGTTTAATATCTCGGCATAGGGTAATGAAACGAAGAAACGAAATTTGGCACGGTAGCTTGTGTATAAGGGGCACGGATGCTATTAAGTTTCGGTGGTGAAACGTCCAGGGAACGAAGAGATAAAGGGCTGTCGCGTGTCGTATCTCAAGAGGGGTCGGACTTAACGATGTTATTCGTTATTAGTGTTTACAATTTTTTACCAATACCTTCAAAATTAAGCCTTTTGCCACTAACAAGGTCTTTTTTTTTAATAACAAAATACCATAAGAGATGGCACCGTACACAATTTTATTTATTATAATTAAAAATATACCGTAAAAGTGATTTTTTTAACAGCGGGAAAGTTACTCAACTCGTTGCTGGACTTTTTTGTAAGTTACATTTATTTATAACTTTGTAAATGCTAATAACCAGTAAAATCCTACTCTACGTACACACGACTCCCATTATCTCCCCACTCCCTAGACCTTTAACCACCAAAATTTAACAGTACGGATCCCCCTAATACACAAACCACCCCGTAAAATTTCAGAAATTTTCGACAAAAAGCACGGCAGTTATTAAGCTTCAAAGAGGGTGAAAGAAATCGTGTTCCCCCCACACACACGCATCCATACATACAGAAAAAAATACCCGATTTTCTTTGTATCTCTCGATATTTCGAGATCCCCGAGTCCAAAAAAAACGTGAAAACTTCGGGGGTCTTTTTTGACCGGCGGCCATACTTTAAATGATAAATTTAAGAGCGAGGAATATAAAGATCCTAACAGAGAAATAATCGAAAATATATTTACTTTCTTCCTCTTCACGTTTATCATCCTTTTTCGATAAATTATTATAAATATTGACGAGAATTCGTTTATTAATCTGTTTACGTTTTAAGATATTAACAATTGTAAATGTAAATATCGTGTTTTCTATTCGTTCTTAACACCGTTATTAACAGGTCAAAATAGGCATTTTTGGGGGGGTTTCTTTATCTCCAAACGAACTAAACTAATTGAAAAGTCGGTGTAAAGTAATTTAGGAAGATTTTAGTTAACGAGGTGTAGTATACATACATACACCCGCTCTTCTCAACCGATGGTTCGAGGTCTCCAAGGAGTCTACGGTGCGAACCACTAGTCTATACGGTAATAATCGATTGTTTTCTTGTCTATTCTTCGAAATATACGTAGAGAAGACTAAAATGTCCCGATTTTCTCCAGAATTACAACTTTTCTTCACCGTTCTTATTACTACTTTATTTTCTTAGGCGTAACCTTACTTCTCCCTCCTCCCAATTAGCATTAAAGTAATCGGACAAGACAGGTTTTGAACTTCGAACCCCCCGCTTTGCTATCTTATCGCTTATTGGATAAACACGCCACACTAGCCCGTTCGACTTTCGCCATTGGGTGCAGCCGACTTTTTCGGAATTTTCGGCCACCCGGCCGGGTCAACCGTCATCCGCTCCGTTTCTGGACGAACGTTGGCCATCGTCGATCTAATTATTAGGTCATAGATATAAACATTTATCAAAGTTTTCGTTAAGATAAACGAAACGTTTTAATTAAGAGTCTCCTATAACATCTCTAGATCACCCGTAATAGCTATAATTTCGAAAGCATCCGTCCGGGCAAAAAAAGATGGACGACGTCCGTCCGTATTGACTTTTTCTATTGTAAAATGGCCGAGTTACGAACCCGTCCTTAAAAACACCCCTCATTAACGATTTATAACATTGTTTATATCGACAGAATTTCCTTTTTATCTACCCGTCTCCGGCTTCTTAGAGGAAAAACCCGAGCCATTAAAAGGACACTACTGCCCGGTTGTTCTTCCTAACTGTACGAAACTCCCATAGTAAATAAGTGAAAGAGTACAAAAAAAAAAGAAACGAGATAATTAAACGGGGGGTGAGAAACGTTCGATGTTTTAAAATGTTTTTCTCTAAGATTACGTAAGGGAAGAAGAATTCGAAAATCCCCGATACTGGCCGGAAAATTCCTTTTAAAAGTATTTCCACAACGGGGGCAGAAAAAAAAAGATTAAGTCGGGTTTACAACAAAGGAGAATAAACAGTACTTTCGCGTATGGAATCGCGCGAATTATCTCCCTCTAGAATTTGTAAACGTGCTCGGAAACTGTCTAATAAGTATTAAGTATGTTAATGTCATTCGTAGTAGTTAGAAAGGAAGCGATTTTTGCGAGTGAACATTAGCGATTTCCAGTCCCCCCGCATCAAAGATAATTTTTTAAAAAACTTTAAGGATTAAAAAAATATATATATATTAAATTTCCCGTTTAACAAATCAAATAAAAATTCCCTCCCCTTAACTTCCTCGTGTCGAATGCCAAACGAATGCCCGTAAAGGGAACGTTCGTTATTATTATTTTTAACACGTTCCGCGTAGAAAATGATATATGTATTTCTTATCGTATAAAGGTATTAAAACACACTTAATTTCCCGTGTTTTCGTTAAATAAAAAGAGGAATTCGCACCATTTTTTTCGGGGGTGGTTTCCTCGGTTCGTATCGAGGAAAACAATGGTAAGTATTGAATTAGTAATTTGCCAGGTGGGAACGAGCGAGATTCGGTTTTAGAGAAGAAAAAGAAATTTGAAAAATGCCACCGGAGATATATTAAATTGACAGGTTATCGTAGTGCCATCTCTTATCATCACGGATAAAGATTTTTGTGACGACATTATGGAAAGGAATTTGACAGGTACCCAAAAATTGCGATATTTGTGTTACCTTTAACCGCCCACGTGACAGAGTTAAAGTATGCAATGCGTTTTATTATTTTTTTCGTCGTGCCCATTAATTTATGCGAGATCGATAACAGAGCTGTCTAGCAGAACGGTAATCCGTCTTTGGCTTTGATGGAGAGTTATTGCCACCGTCGTATCGAATGTCGTACATTCGATATTCGGATTGCTAAAAGCAGACGTTTAATTGGGAGATGGATTTAAAAAAAGAAAAGGATAAGCGTCGGTACTCACCTGCTTCCACGTTTTCTTCCTTATCCTCTTCAATTTGGGGCTTCCCGTTTCTCCGTCCGTGTCTTCCAGCACGGTTTCCCCCGTGGAACCCGTGTCGGAAGAGGAAGATCTTCTACCCCCGTCGCCACCGAAGGGCGAAAGAGAAAAGGAAGCCGACTGAACGGTCGAAGAGTGATCTTCGTCTTGCGACTTGGGCGAGAGCGAGGTGGCACACGTTCCGGACAAGAGACTCCCTCGCTGCTGCACGTACTTGTATAACGGCGAGGTTTCTACGTTTCTGGGACTGGCGGAACCCTGTTGGCTCGACGTTTCTCCATCGCTGGAATCTTTGGATTTTTGACTTAGATTGAGAACCTGAAATTCCCTGTGGCCTCCTTTCATGGACAGGTCTAAAGGTTGTTCGTTGTCGTCTGCTGTGTAAGGTTCGTTGAACACCGAGATAGTAGTTAGACACTGCAAAGGCAGTGTGTCGCCGGTCTCTCTATGCTGTCTCTGCGAGTACCATTGGAGAGGAATGGCACCGTTATAATGAGGGACCACCGGAGTGTACGGGGAAGTTCTCAAGGGAGTTTGTGGTTTGTACTTTGGTACGTGAATAGGCTCCGATCTGCAATTCAGAGATTTATCGCGGGTACGCATGCTCTGAAACCAGAATTCGACTAGTTGAGAGGAGCAACCGAGCTCCTGGGCTATTCTGCTCACCTCGAACTCTTTTCTCCAAGGATTAGCGTTATAGTAGTCCTTTAGAATTTGGAGCGTTTCCTCGTTCAAAATGCCGTCCGCCTGATCTTTACCGGCCGCCTCGTCCTCCTCCTCCGTTGCCTCTTCGCATCTGCCTTCTTCCAGGGAGGAATCCGGGTTGTTCCTGCAGAGGTAACGCTCGTGGTGCACTTGCTCCAAACGGCTGTCGAAACGCTCTTCGCAGTGCTTGCACTTGTCGCCGCCGTCTTCCGACGCCTCGCTTTTGCCCACGGACTGCTCGGAAACGCCGTTGCTGGCTTCCTGCTTCTGCTTGGAGACCGTGGCACCCACGATCTCCAGGATCTTCTTGACCGCCTTCATGTCTTGGTTGGCTTCTTGCGCTTCCAGGCCCGAGTCGGACTCGGGCCCCTGCACCACCTGACCCAAGTCCGGGTAGGTGGTCATTCGGACGAAGGAGGACGTGGAGTAGTTGACGGACGTCAGCGGCTGATAGTAGCTCGATGGCAGGAAAGATTGGACGACGGGTGGCTGATTCTGAAAGTCGTAATTCTGGAAGCGTTCTGAGGTAGACAGATAAGTGGATGTTGGTGGAGTCGAGTCTCTGCCATTTCCTCCTCCGTCGTACTTTGGAATGATTGGGCGGAAAGAATTGTTTGGCTGCGAAGATCTGCCCCGTGACGATTTCGATTCGAGCTTCTTCACCTGAAACGACACCATCGTCAGAGTGGTCTTGTTTCGGGGGAGGGCAATCGCTAGCGGAGAAAAGTAAACGTCTCCACTCACCTTCAGGTTCATGACCAGGCACTTCTTACTAGTCATGTGCGACGAGTAGGACCCCGAATGCGAGAACCTCTTTCCGCAGTTGGGACAGGCGAAGGGCTTCTCTCCGCTGTGGATCCTGATGTGCTCCTTCAGGTGATGTTTGAACTTGAAAGCCTTGCCGCACTCGGGACACTTGAATTTCCTGAGGACCGTGCTTTCGTCGTGGCTGATCATATGTCGCTGTAGACGGTAGACGTTGGCAAAGGTCTTATTGCACACCTTGCAGGACTATGTAAGGAAAGGGATAGAAAGAACTCTAGGGCCATGCAACATCTAGCCTTTAGTCGGATGGCTACTAGGGATTTATCAGTTAATAAAGGGGGGAGAGATTACAGCAGAACGGAAAAGAGACGAGCGGACGAGAGAGACGACTCACCTGGACATTTGAGGAATGGACGACCGCGTGCTTTTCTAGATGATCTCTAAGCGTGAAGACTGCATTGCATTTGTTGCACCTGTGCGTTGATTCGGCTCGAAAGGGGCCGTGAACGGCCTCGACGTGTTCCGCGATGGAAGAGTGTCCGGCTAGCACCAAGTCGCAATGTGGACACTTCAGAAGGGTGCCCAAGGTCTCGGCCACTTCTGCAAATACACACAGCGACAGCGATTAGCGTCACGCATGCAATTATCGACAGAGGAAGAGAGAAGGCCCGCTTCTCCTTCATTACAGCCGTGCCCGGCAAAACGCTTCCTCCTTTTTATTTCTTCTCCTTCCCGGTTAAATTTAACAATTTGTCATCGGAAAGCGAGGATTATATTTCGACGCGGGGCGAAAAACGGGCGCTGCCGGTCTTCGGGCAACAGTTTCCATTAGAGGAGGCAACAAGAAGCCGAGAAAAAAGTCAGATAAGGAAAGAGCGCAGAGACAAGTCAAAGAAATGAGTGTGTGCAGTTCACCTGACACACACAATCGATTCTACAAACGGATAGTTTGAGCCGGCGTCTGGCTACGGTGCCGAGTAAGCCGCGGGGGCAACACGCCGACCACCCCCACCAGCCGATTGGCCAGGTGGAATGGAGGCAGTCCCGCTCGGTGGCGGGACCGCCGTCCGATTTACATGTTAATGGACGGCACCTGTGTCTCGGCCGCCGATAAGGGCCACGCCGTCCTTCCCCGGGCCCGGCACGTTCGGGCCAAACAACATGGCGCCCTTCATCTCCATCCGAAGCGGCCGATACAAATTGAGGCCGTCTCCTCCGCGTTATAAATCATCCGCCTGTCAAATCCCGCTGGCCCCACCGCAGCATCGATTCGGTTCCCCACCAAAGCCGGCTTACCTGGACCCCCCGAAAAAAAGAGGCACCCCGGCCGGCATTGTTTCCCAGCGTCGTTAGCTCCCGGCCCGATCGATGAGTCGGAAGGGCCGACAATCGGCCAATGGCGGCTTCCCTCGGCCCGACGCGGGCTCTCCGCGCCACCCGATCGATGCTAATTCCCGCCCCCGTCCTCGCGCCACGGAGGATCCCCGCAAAGAGGGAGTCTACCCGCTTGTTTCTTCCTTCCCGTTGGCCGGAGGAGGAGGCCCAAAAACCTCGCCTCCCGACCCGATTTAATAACGCATTAATTAAGGAGAGTGCCGGCCGATAATGAATAAATTGGCAGGGCGAGGGAGAGCGCCGACTGCCCTTTCCGGGTTGCGACGCGTCGCCCGCCGCCAACGGCCGAGCGGACGCTCGAGAGGTGAATAAATGGCGCTGTCGGAGTCGGAATTAATCGGCACGAGTGGAGGACCGCGGGGAATTGGCAACTACGGCTCGAGACGGGGTCGGGCGGGCGCAAACGGGCCACTCGGGCGATAATTACCACTTAGCCGGCAAACATTTCGGAAGGGACGGCGATCGATGAGACATCGTCGACCGGTCCTCCGCATCCGCGGTGATTAAGGCAAACGAAGAATTAGCGACTCTCTTCCCCCCGCCGCCGCGCGCCGGTATCGATGGGAAAGGGCGACGCAGCCCGCGGGCCCGGGAGCCGAGGGGCCGCGACCACCTCCTAATTCGATTGCCGTTTGTTCCGGGTGCGGGACGCGACGCGTAGCGCCCCGTCGGTCCGTAATCTGGCGGATGGCTCCTGCGGGTCCACTTATCGTATTACCGTTGATAGATGGCGCTAGTGGGCCGCTGCCTCCCCCCGCGGCAGATAGCAGTCTTTAATCGTCGGCCCGCGCATTGTGCGTGGGCAATTGGCTTATTCGCGCTCGAACGGGGCGCGCGACGAGAGAATGGCCCGGCGCGTGGCTTATCTGGCGCGATAAGGTTCCGTCCTGCCGCATTAAGCCGGTTTGTCCTGGGCTAATCGCGCGGACGGAAGGCCGGAAAGCGACGAAAGCCGCGCGGTGGCCAAATCGTTTGCATCGGCAACGGAATGGAAAGCGCATCGATCGGCGCGCGCCGTACGGCGCGGCGGAGTCGGCGCTCCCGCTTATCCGGTGCGTCCGTCCGAAGATTCGGTAACGTGCCGTCCAATGAGCGAGGCGGAGGGGTGAGAGGGTAGACGGGGAGATAGGAAGCGCGTTTCTGCTCGTCTGCCCTCTTTAGTCAACCGGAGCGTGCGGGAAGGTGGACGGGACGAGAAATTAAAAAGCCCAACCCAACGCGTTCCTTTCTCTCTCCGGCTCGCCTCCCCACACGGACCGCGCCGAGCTTCCGCGGCAGGCCCGACGCAAAAGAGGGCGCGCGCGTGCGGGCCGCCGGGCCCGGCGCGAGCGCCATCGATCGGACTCGAAGGAGGAACGAAAACTTCGGAATCTCGGACGACGATAATTGCCAGGCCGGCCGGTCGCCATGGCAACCGGCCGGTCCCGGTCGGCCGAGTAATAACGGGCCGGGGCGAGGGGGGAAGAGTGTCGGTGCAGGTGACATCGAAATTGCACCAATTATCCCAAATGAGGTGTCGGAGGAAAAAGGTCGTCGGCATTAAAAAGGTTGATGAATGGAGAGGAGTGGGCTCTCCCCTACCTGCCACGTGCTGCCATCTACGGGCAGGAATTCCTCTTTATAAATGACGGGTGTTTTTTTTCCGCTCCGCTTTTTCCGCCGGTGACAACACTGTAATTTTATATAGTTTGGACGTTATTCGATTCCGCTTTGCTATTCTCGACTGTCGCACCGATGACATTTCGGCCGTTGACAAATTGAGACGGGGGAAGGCAAGCCGAGCTATTTTCCCAGATCGAAAGTGTTTACCGGAGCAGCTCAATTATTCCGCTCTCTTCTTCTTCTGCCGGGGGAAGGGGGCCATCCGCCCTCCCTCCTTCCGGGCCGGACGGGCCTGACGGCCGGAACAGACACGGGCCGCAATCCGACAGTTGGCCGCTTTTTTTCCTCCTCTTCCGCGGCTTTTGAATCTTTAATTAATTACGCTACACGGCGCGCCGTGTATTTTTAACGTCATCTACAGCTGCTTATTCTAATTAACCTCTTTTAATTAAGGAAACCCAAGGCCGGCCTGCCTCTCCTTCTCCTCTTCCGTTCTCTTCCTCTCCGTCGGCCCGAATCCGGGCCCGGTCTCGGCCCGGCCGGTGCGGAAACGTCCCGGTTTTCCGGTCCGGAGCATCCGAAACTCGACGATCCGACTTTTGACATTCAAATTAGCCGGTGGCGGGGAGAGCGAGAGAGAGAGTGGCGCGCTTGCATAATACATGACGGCCCGGCGCTGGTTCCTTTCTGCACGGGCTTCCGAGTGGAAGAGCGGCGAGATTTAAATCCGTACACGACCGAAACAACGTCCCGGGAGAACCCCATTTCCTATGCAAGAAAGCCGGGTTAATGCGCGGGATGCGGAGTCGCCTTCGGGTAATCGATAGCGACTCTCGCTTTGCCGCCAGGTGAAGCTACTCACCTGGCATCCCAATCGGTCGGGGGCCGGATTGCCAGATAATCCGATTGGCTGGCTTCCCGGAGGGAGGGAATCGCCTGCCGTTGCCGATTTTATGCATTCCGCTCGGTAATGAGCCCGCGTCACGCATCCATCACGCATCCTTCTCCCCCTGCGTGCGTATCGGGTGGCCAACCACGGCCGCACCTGTTCCTCCGGCCATCTTGGTCGACTAAATATTTAACGGGAGAGGCGCGATTATTAAAAGAGGGAGAGAGAGGACCGAACGAATATGGCTTTTTAATTAAAGAGGTGGTTAGCCGGAAGTGTCGTCGGCCGCCATATTACTTTTTTATCGCCTCTTTATATATCTTCTCTGGCAATTAAACGGTAATGCCCCGAGTTGCGGCTGCCGTTTCGGACGGGAATTTTCGGAACTTTTAGGGAATTTTCTGGTAGGAGAGGGAGGAGGCGAATATCTTAACACCCCGGCTTGCCGCCACTCGACTCGGGGTTTTCGAGCTCCCCGACGATGACTAATACGGATGGTGAATCAGGCCTGCCAAACAAAAGAGCAATGCGGAGAAGAGGAAGTAGCAGCCGGAAGTAAGTCGGAGACAGACGAAAGAAAAGAGATTGAATACGGTCGGAGGGAGGAGAGAGACGATGACATCGATACAAAGCGGTCGGGCACGTCCCGACTACGTCCATTGAGAGGCGACTGATTGGAAGCCGGGTTTTGTTCGGCGGTGGCCGGCTAATGGCAACGGTGTCGCCCGGTCGCCCCGAGGAAGGGCGCTCATTGTGGTGGCCCGAAAAGCGGAAGTTGGCCAGAAAGTGGGGGGATGCTCACCTTTTCGGTCGCGGTCGACGTCGACCGGCCGAGGGAAGACGACCGCCGTGTCGTTCCTGTTGAGGAACTGTCTGATGCGCGTTTGCTCCTTGACCATCCCGTTGGTCCTCTCCTCCCGGCCGCGGTGGCCGTTGACGGCGGGTGGGTCGTCTGTGGGCGGGACGGGTGAGGCGGACGAGACGAGGCCGTCTTCTGGAAGACAATCCATGGAAGTCGGGGGCAGAGCCTCTTTGGTTTCGGAGGCCGGCGTGCCCGGCCGCGGATCTCGGGGTCCCAGGTGATCTACGTCGACCTCTTCTGGCATCTTCTCCGGGTCAACTGCCGAGAGAAAACGGGAAAAAATAAAGTCGATGTAAGTCGGGAAATTAGGAATCGATGCGGAGGAGGAATCCTCCCCCAATCTAGTGGACCGGAAGTAGAAGAAAACGACCGGAGCACCACCTGTCAGTCGGAGCGAGCAGGTAGCGCAGGAAAGCTAAATGATGCTTGAACGGCTACAAGCGCGAGACAATAACGGCGCCAAATTTCCAAACCAAATCCCGTTGTCGGACCGGTCGAGCGGAAGGACCCAGCTGCCTTCTTCGAAAGCGAACGGAATCCGGCAGCTGACGGCGCGGGCCGGCGAGGTGACATCCCGACGCGCGAGGAGAAGAAGAAGAAGAGGAATTCGCCAGACGGAAACAGCTGTGGACGGCATCCAAGCGCGCGGAGCAGCTGCCGGGCCGACCCGACGAAAAACTAGGCCCACCCCGTCCGTACCGTTTTCCACCCCCGTTAGGCGAAAGTCGACAAAAGAAGACATGCGTTCCTCCAAGACCTGGCACAAATTGCCCGACGAAAGGACGAGATTTACCAATCCACTCCGAATTTTTGGCAAAGGGGGATCGAAGCGTCGTCGATACGGAGGGTTTAGCCGAAAAACGAAAGGGCGCCGTAACCCGAGCGGGCGTTTGTTCGTCGCCCACACCTCGCCAATAAACTTTTGGCACGCGGATCGCGGACTCTGCATAAAATCCATTCTTCCCGTCTCGAATACGAAAACGAAAGACAACGACGGGACGGGAGGAACGTTAGGGCATTCGAGCCACGCTCCTGCTACTCCTTCTCCTCCGAAATGCAAAACACTCGGACCTCCTCCCTCCGGCCGGCGGTTTCTCTTTAACAACTCCTCCCTGGGAACGAAAAAGACGGCTCTCTTCCGCATTCGGCCCCGTCCGCCGCCGTAAGCCAATTACGCTCGTTTTAACGTTTTCCGCGCCGAAAACCCCCGTCCCCCCGACACGAAGGAAGGAGAAGGAGCCGGAGACAATTAATTGAACGAGGGTGGGGAAAGGCGACCGCGGGAGGCTTTTTATTAGATTAAGACCGGGAAGTCGGAGTGGCACCGTTTCTGTCCATCCGCGGATTATCGTTTCCGCTGGCGGAGGAAAAGGATTCGTCTTCCTCTTCTGAAAATTCCCTAAAACCGGTGGACCGAGCGGGGGTCGAACGACGGTTAAACGGACGACGTGGTAAAGTGGATTGGCAATCTGCCTAAAATCCCGTCAACAGTTAGTAGTTCCCCCCTCGGACACCGACCGAGGAATTCCCTCCCCCCTCGTTGGGGGACCGAGCGATCTTGGCGGAGCGGCGGCCGCGTCGAAGATCGGAAGGGGAAGTAAATAGGGATGGTAAACGTCGCCCCGCGGTCCCCCCTCTTTATTTATTCGACGGCGGGCAACAGGGATGAGTCACTCTCGACATTCCTCCGCCACCGGGCCTCGGCTCGACGTCCGGTGGCCTACGCGCGGCCACCGGCCCCGTCTTGCCACCGAACTGGAGATTTTCTAGCCGCGTAGGGAAAAAAAAGGAAAGAAGAAGAAAAGGAACGAGGAGAAGCGCGCGCCGTGACGGAGTGGACGAAAACCCCCGGCGTTTCCGGGCCGGATTTCGTTAAACGACCTCGAAAGTCACCCGACTATTTGTTGTCGGCCCCCGATCTCGTTCGGGTTGATGGCTTTCTCCATCAATTCTCTACCGGCCATTAATTTTAGTTTTCTCACGTTCGGACGCGACGCGCTCCCCCTCCTCCGCCACACGCTCGGTGTTCCGTCTATTGGATCGATCTCTAGTTCGATACTAAATGATATTTAATGGTCGCCGGCACGTCTCCGTCGCATCCTAATTATTCCGCGTCCCGCCTATTCCGCCACCGTGGCCAACTTTCTCCGACTTTCCCGCTCCTTCGGCCCGGAAACCGGCGATCGAGTGGCCCGAACTCCCCCCGGGACGAGAAGAAGAAGGAGAAGAGTCGGACGAATCGCTTCCCGGACGCGCGATCGCGCCTACTCGTCGCTTCTCTCCGGCGCGACGTCCAGATTATACGCTATTTGTCGAGACGGCTGTCACCCGCAACTGTCCCACTACTGTTTGCTTTGTCGCGGCTTAAATCGAATTACGGCCTTCTACCTATCGGCCGTCGCCGGCCTCACCCCGTACCGACCACTTCCCGCGCGTGGGAAGCGAAGCGAGCCACCCATCGCGTCGTCGCCGTCGCTTCCACTTCCTCCACCCCGCCGCGTGATGGTGCCGCCCACCGACGGGGGAGGGGAGGGATACTTTTTAAAGGCCAGCACACTCTTTTCGGGCGCGCGTGGAATAATCCCGGGGACCGCCGATCCGGGCATCAAAGGATTAGAAACCGAATGGAAGCGCCCTTTTCCCGGGGCGCCTGCCGAAGCTTAGAAGTGGAGCCCACTAATTAGGACGAGAAAAAGAGGAGGAGGCGCTTTTAATTTCCGAAGAGATCGAGTAAACAAAATGGAGAGGCGGTAATGAATCTGCGGGCCGCGCCTTCTTTGTCCACGTGATTAGTCGGCCAGGATAAACACGTCTAATTGACATTAATCAAATCACGCCTCCGTCCGCACGGAAAACGGCCCGGGGCACACCTATCCGCGGAAGGATGTTTGTCTTTTTTTTTATTGTTTTCTGGCGCCCCCTTCTCCCCTTTCGGCGCCGTGCCAAATATCGGGGAAAAAAAACGGGGTTAACCGAGTCGAAGGGACGATTGGCGGATTAAGATTCGGGGCGGAGGACGGCGTATAAATAGACGCGGGGTCCCCATAGTTCTGTCGTCGCCCGGCAGAGGTCATCTCGACTAATGGGGAAGGTAAAACTGCAAATAAACAAGGCTTGGCTCTGGTGCCAGGAAGTCGCACGTGCGGCGCCACCTTCGGTAGACGGGTCAACCGACTGTTGCCAAGGTTACCAGCCGGCAAAAACAGAAGAGTTCCCGCAGCCGGGTCAGCGGTGTCATCAGCCTGTGGGAAAGGGGAAGGCGAGGGAAGAAGGGAAAAAAATGCGGTCTGCGCGGCGAGAGGAAGTGAAATTTATGACGTCTCGCGGCACTGCTATATTAGCGTCACCCGTCGGCTACCGAACCGTCTTTTAAAGTCTGGGCCGGCGAGAAAATTTCTCCCTTTTCTCCCTCCGAACCGGGTCTCGGACGAGACCCACTCGGAGGCGCGAGGTGAGGCCGGCCCCACGCGTCACCTGGTCCCGTCGTTCACCCGTGGCCCCACCTCCCGTCCGCGTCGGCCCCGTCTCACCTTGGCCGGTCAGACAACAAGTGGCACATTGTCTGCCAAGGCCCACCCACCGGCGTCCGGGGAAACTCGATCCCTCCTTTCCTTATTTCTCGGAACATCCGCACGGGGGCGTGACGAATATTTCTTTCCCCGTCAGCGGGAACAACCGCAGGAAGCTTTAATCCGAAGCGCGTCGAGGACTCGGCGTGTCGCGGCCCGCCGCGCGACCGGGGGGCGGCCGTCGTCCGTCGCTCCCTTCCCCGTCGAATTAAGACGGGGCCGTCGGCGAATTCCGGCCGCGGTGATGCTCGAGCGGGGCCGGAGCGCTAAATATCGGAGCGGGTTAATCGGGCGGAAGCGGAGGGCCCGCCGATCCGGAATAACTCCATTAAAGGGCGAGCGAGAGAAATCAACTGGCTACTAAAAACAAAAGGAGTGACAATCACCGAGAACAATTAGTCCGTCCGGAAGATAAAAGCTCTATTATGGCGGGGCGACGATTCTCGCCGGCCTGCCACAAAAGGATGTTTACACGTGTCGTCCCCCTCCTCACTCGACGCTAGAGTGCTCCCGCAATCGCACGTGCCACACAAAGCGCTCCATTGTTCGCGTCACTGCCGAGAAACAAAACGCTCCACCGCCTCCGCATCCCTTCCGGTGGGAAAAGCGGCCCCCTCCCCGGCCCGGACCGCGGCCGTTCTCCCCCCCTCGGGCCCGAATTAATACGTCGTCGGCGGCCGTCGAACGGTCACCGCCGACGACACGCCGCGTCACGAACTGTCGCGGCGTGTCAGCAGCGGGGTTCGACTGTCACAGACACAATGACACGTCTGACAGACAAAGTTTTAATAACGTCAAGCTATCGGCCGGCGACCCAATATCGCGACAGCCACTTTCTCGCACCCTCCTCCTTCTTCCGCAAACACTCCGTCGGCGGTCCGAAGCCCCGGGCTCGACCTTCCATCGATCGCTCTCGCCGGGCGGGGACCCCCTTCCCATTTTACTGTTTCCCTTCATTTTCCGACAAGGGTAGCGGCGCCCCGGGTCCGGGGGCCCGGAGGACGGCACGCGGCCGAGGAGCGGAAAGACGAATTCGGGAGGCGACTCACGTCCGGACTCTTTATTATTCCCGTCGGCCAGCGCCGGCGGTAATTAGGACGCCGCGGCCGGTCCGAAGGGGGGAATAATTAAGCGGGAAGGCCGACAAAAAGGGGCAATTTCTGGCCGCTCCGAATTCCGGGGGAGGGGCGGCGCGGGGGCCGGAAGCGGCCGGAATCTCGTCGGTGTCGAGGCGGAAAACGAGAAGACGGGCGAGAAAGGCCCCGGAACGAAAAGTAATATGCCGAGGAGCGGACGGAGGAAGCGAGCGAGAGGACGAGGACGATCCCCGAGCGACGGAGGAAGGGCCGGATGCAATCTGCAGATAGCGGGTCCCCCGGGAGCCGGGCATCCCTTCGTCACTCCGGCGGCGGTCGCCCCGAAAAATGCAAACTTTATCGCCTCCCTCCCGGGAGCGCTTTCGTTTTGGCCGTCCGCGCTCAACCCCCCGTCTCCGGAGACGGCCCCCGCTATAGACGAAAAGGTCCGGACCGACGTTGCCTAGACGACGCCGAGTCGGCGCATGCCGCGGAAAGCCACCGGGCAACGGTTGCCGCGGCAACGCCGGCCATGCCCGGCCCCAACGGATAATTACGAATTCCGAAGGAGGGAGGAGTGTGGAAGAAGAACGGCGACGTCTTCCGTTTCGCC